CGGTATACATTCAACATGTACCGATGCATCAAGGGTAAATTCCAAAAATTATTCAGTGTGCATTGATGCACACAGGAAGGCATCGATGCATGGAAATTTCGAAGTTACTTTGTGCATCGATGCACCCATAGTGCATCGATACACCCCTAAAGGAAAAAGTGAATTATAGTTCAATAAATTAGTTTAAGTTATTAGCATCGAATTATAAGGTTTAGGCTTCTAATAATCGTCTTGGAAATTATGATTATATAGATATCGAGCACGAACAAGTTCCGGGACGACCATCAAGTTAAGATTCGATCGAAAGAAAGGAATCATAAAATGGGATTGAAACTTAGTGAGGCCAAGGTGAGTGCATATTAGATAGTGTATTATGTTTAATGGAAATAAGACTTGTGACAAGTCTATTTCCTATAGTAAAATGCATGAATTCATTAATATTAGCATATGTTTGATATGTTGCATGTGTGTTATTGATTGTTGTATATGTTAATGATATGTGTGAATACATGTTTATATGATACATGTTAAGTGTCCATGATATATGTACACATGATAATATGATATAAGTTAAATTATGTAATATGATACATAATTATAAGATAAGTGAATGAATGTATATATGATAGAGATTATGTATGAGATATATGAGAAGAGGTAGATGTGATTAGGTGAAAGAATACAAACATATATTAAGCCATGTTATATATGATAAATGAATGATATGAAAAACATGAACTATGTGAAAAAAAGCTACATGATTACATGTAAATGTGTAAACAGTTATGAGCTTATATGAACATGTGATATGAATGTGTATATGTGATACAAGTTATGCGACATAAACTAAGTGATATGTGACAGTGAACTACGTGTTTATATGTATATGTGAAATGATATAATGCTAATGCCCATGTTATGTGTAAAGAGAGCTAGAGGTATAGTTGGCATGCCAAGAGTCGAGGGATTATCAGTGGTCATTCGGGACATAGTGGTCCTTTGGGACGTAGTGGTCCTTCGGGACATATACAATGGTCCTTCGGGACAAATTCTACGTGCCCCTAGTGAAAATTATACGAGATGTGGTGATAGCATAGTGCACAACCTCAATGTACTCACATATATATAGTTCTCACATATATATAGTTCTCGCATATGTACATGGGCTAACAAAGAGATAACAATAAATATATATATTACATGTAAAGTATATGCTTTTGTAATATGAATTGCATTATATGATTATATGATGATGCGTGTATTGCTTGGTTAAATGAATCATATGTGGCTTAAAAGAATAGACATACGAGTATGTGATTATAAGACATAAATGATAAGAATATGGTAGTGGAATAAGGTTAGTAATGGAAATAGTGTGAGATATGTATATGTGTATATTACATTGTATGTAATGTTATATTGTTTTGGTGTGACATTATGAGATGATGTGTTCCTGCATGTTTAAATAATTAGAGTTCTTTTATAAATTTAATGTCTCACTAAGTCATAGACTTTGCGTGTGATTGTTTCACACGTAGGTTACAGAAGCAAGAAGAGAAGCTAAGAAGAGCAAGACATGTCAACATCTCCTTTACAAAGTTTCAGATCATAAAATAGATGATTTAAATGTATTTGGTTATTTTGAATGTAGTTGGCATGTACTAATTGATTGAGTTGAATATGCTCTGAATGGTTTGTAAAACAATTTGATAGTATTTATTACTATAAAGTAATTATTTTCTCAAATGAGGAAATTAAGATTTTAGTGGATTTGTAAAGAACAAAGTTTTGAAAAGTCAATGTGACACCTCGGACTAGGATCCGAGTCGGATACGGGTTGGGCGTGTTACAGTTTACGGTATCGATATCTTCATCTTGGTATCGATACCTACACATCAATATCGATACTTTTTAAATAAGTATAGATATTGTTCATCCAACTCCTATATCATCCTTCCATTTTAACATGATATTATCGGTATTGTTCTTACAGTATCGATACCCTTACCCAGATTTCACCTCGTTTACTTTGAATTTTACACATACCTCACTTAAATCTTAAACTTTCAACTCCATTCACAACCTCAAACTTGTCAACACTTATCCCAATCAACATATACCTAATAATCCCTTTTTTACACCCAATTTCTTTATGAAATTCTTAAAACTAAAAATCTTACCATATTTTCAAACATGTTCTTAATTATTTCTAATACTTCAATTCCCTTAATTATACATTTGACAAGTCAAATATAATTTTAGAAATTCAATTACTACTCAATCTCATCAAATCCCCTTAACAACCCATTTTACTAATCCATTAATAATTCACTACTTTATTAGTTTTAATCAACTTTAAGCTTTCCTTAAGCTTATATATCACCCAAAGATCAAAAATCATCTTAAAAATTCAAGAAACAATCAACTTGAAAATAACACACCATGGAAATGGAGGTTCATGGCAAAAAAAAGAAGAAGAAAATAAATGAACCATTATTCCATATACTTCTTCTTTTCTCATTCTCCTAAGATTAAAATATCATTTAAAATGAATTTTAAATTCATATCCTGCTAAAAGATCTCTTTGCCCTTCCCTTATTCCATCTTTGCTAATAAGTCCTAAACAGAAATATTTAAAATTAGTCCTTGAACTTTTCAATTTATTCTAATTAAACTACTAAATTTTAAATGTTTACATTTTAGTCACTGATCCAATGTTTGGGGTATTACAAGGTTGGTGAAAAAGATGTTGAGATATTATAATAACTATGGATAAATATCAAAATAGCGTATGAACTTCTATTCAATATTGTGTAATAGTATACATGAATTTTAGTTTTAATTTAATTGTATATATAAATTTTAATTTCAATTTAATTATACATATTTAAAAATTAAATATATTCATTTGTTTTCATATTTAATATAAATAAATATATATATATATATATATATATATATATATATATGCAAATGTAAAATAATATTATTTTGAACTTTAACTTTAACTCTCTCTTTTTTACCGCTATTAGAATTTTTTATTTTTATCTTTGTAATCGACTGCTTAATATTGGTCGTTGATCGCTGATCGTCAATAGTCATTGTTTTTCTTTATTTTATTATGTCTTATTTTGTTTTTTTGTTTTTTCTTTTTAAATTTTTAATAATTATACCTTATGACATGTTTTCATGTGTTTTGACACGTTTTTTGTCGTTTGACAGCTATTTTCATTTTTTTTCTCATAATTGGATTTGACATCGCCACGACTAATCAAGATGTTGCTCATTTGTTAGCATGTTGATCTTCCCTACTTTGAAATATTGAATTGGATTTGGATTCGTGATTTGCGTTCGTGAATAGTTTTCTCACGTCGCTTGATTCTGATTTATGATTTTTCGATAGTATTTCAATAACTTAATCATCTTTTGTGGTTCGTTTACCAATGCGATCAAGTATATTCGTATCTACCATTTATTTGAATTTATTTAGCTAGATTTTTAAATTTTTTTATATGGCCTTTGTGTAATTTTAAGTGGTTAGTTTCTTGTATTAATGATTCTAAGAAAGCATTCTTATTATATGCTTTAATTTATTATTATAATTATAAACTTTCATTATAATTTAGATATTTTTCTATTTTTAATAAAATTAACTACACAAAATCAAAGTTATATAAAGTGTTTGAATTGAAGTATAAATATAAAAATACATTATTTACCGACATTTTATTATCTTATTAACTAATTGTAAAAATAATTTCATTAAACAATTCAAATGATATTACCTATTTTAAATTAATTATATGAAATAAAAATAAATTACTTTACAATTACAAATTAAAAACAAACACGTAAAATAAATGCATTTGTCACGAGACTTTCTATTAGAAAATGTTTTTTTAATAAAAAATAAATAAAAGGACAAATGTATTTAATTTTTTTTATAAATCGATTGTATTATATCTAAGAAGCAGCAAACTATTATAAGAAACAATTGTACACTCATATAGATCAACGCTTATAAAAAATACCCCAATACAAAATTTAAAATTTGCAAAGTCAATTCTTTATGTGTTTTTCCTATACAACTTGAATTTAACAATTTTCCTGATTGAATCAAAAATCACATCGGCCCCTCTCACTAAACTACGAAAAATCCTTCAATTACATTCCTCCCAAACAAGATAAAGGAATGCACTCCAAGCTAATAACAGGGAGAGACTCACCCCTAAGAGAATTTACCGCCAAGCTAGCTCGTGAGTACATGATCGAGCAGTTCTGTCCAGGTCAAATAATCTATGAATTCTTGTCAAATACCAGCAGAAAATGGACATTCAGAAAAGAGATGGTCTCGACTTTTGACAGCCCCGTCGCAAGGTACGCAGCGATCACTTCCCGCTAGTCCCATTTTCAACAGCCTATCCCTTGTCGTTAACCGATTGAAAATTATCACCGCATGTTTGTGAACATGAAGCGAGAACCAAATAAACTTGTGTCAATCCATCTTATCACGACTGCTGCGTATTCTAGCTCAGATTTCCCTGATTGAAGTCGTCTTTCGCACTATAATATTGCAGATCACAAAGTCTCCCTTCTTAAAACAAATTTTTTTTGCAAGCTCCAATTAACAAAGTTCTAAACCTTAATCATTCAAAAATCATTCGGCATAATCACGTAAGTCTTCATCCATACAACCCAAAGGGACCATGAATTTTTTAAAAAATTAAAAGCCAATAGAAATTAAAAAAGGAGAGGTAAGGTGAGCTGACTGCGTGAGTGAGTGAACCTCTTGTCTCTCCTATTTTCCCTCTGCTTTTGCCATCTTACTTCCTTTCTACTTTAGGTTTCTCACTCTCTTTCATTTATTCTCTCTTTTTTTTTAGGGGGGGGGGGGGAGAATCAGAGGTTATTGGCCCATTTAACTCTCTCGCTCGTTCTCAACTACATTTCTAGTTCTCTTATAAAATTTCCAAACAAAATATGACTTTCTGGAATTGATTTATGCACATGCTTTCCTTTTCCCTATTGAATTTTTCTTTTAACAATTTACATTTTTTCCCTTTTCTTTTGCTTTTGGTTCTGGAAATCCGTGATTACTGCATTGAGGGTTTTGGATGAGCTCTGCAAACTCCTCTGATCTTCAACTTATTCAGGTAACAACAGCTTCTTATTCTAAAATTTGGCATTTATGTTTTGATTAATTTAATGCTCAGTTGTTAGATCGTTCTGCTAAAAAATAAAATTTTGAGCTTACTTGTAGAAATGGTTCTGTAAATGCAACTCGTACAAAATAGAAGAAATAATTACTGAGAATCTTTCTATAGAATTCTCTGCGTATCATAAAATAAAATAAAATCTTCTTATTTTTAATGTTTACAATTTATGAATGGATTGTTTATCAAATTTGATTGATAAAAATAGTATCGTCGAAAGCATGCTACGTTAATGGAGTAGGTTTTTAATACTACATTGTTTCACATCAATAAATGAAAAGAATGAAAAGAAAGTAAGGCCGAGAGAATGGAAAATCCATTTTACTGTAATGTTTGATTTGATTTTCACTGAATTCAATTTGGGTAGTTATAAACTTATTCGGTTTGGTTTTTGCTTCACAAGTTAAAACCGCAATCTTTGAGTTGAATTCTATTTGGTTCAGTTTTTAAAAAGAAATCATAATATTATATATTAACTGTATTTTTTGTCTAAAACAAAATCGAACCATAATCATTCCTAATGGAAGACAACAATCTTCTATTAAAATAGCTGCATTTGAGCATCATCCTAGGTAGTATGTCTCCGGTGCTGAAGAAATATTTAATTTTTGGTTTTTGTAATGTGGAAATATAGGAAGCAGAGCAATGCGGAAAGGTCACTCTGATTTGTCGTTAGTTGAAGAAGTTAGTGGGAGAGGCAACATGAGAGAAAGCTGTCATTTGAAGAAAGGACCTTGGATGATAGCAGAAGATGTGATCCTTGTCGACTATGTAAAGAAGCACGATGAGGGGAATTGGAATGCTGTGCAGAAACACTCTGGACTTTCCCGATGGGGGAAAAGCTGTCGCCTGCATTGGGCAAACCACCTAAGACTGGATTTGAAGAGAGGTATGTTTTCTCCAGACGAAGAACGTCACATAGTTGAGCTACATGCTAAGTTGGGAAATAAATGGGCACGAATGGCTGCTGAGGTTGGTAGTAACTCATCACTCGTAACTTTCAAAGTTGGTTCTGTAGAAAACAAAATTTGCACAAATCAACAAATTTATGCAAACTTTGATTTTACCTTTAATATTGGGAGATGATCATTCTTAATTCTTTCCCGTGAAGCTAATTGATTCTTGTGAATGGTCAGTTTCTGCAATGTGCCAGTGATTTGCTTACCGTGTTAATTTGTGTTCCTTACCCTATCCTCTGATATGTGAACTCAAAACTTATGTTGCAATGATTGGCATGCTTCCATGGAGTTCCTATGCATGGTTTACCACCCATATAATTTGATTTTGTCAATACATGATAAACTTGCTCAAGCATCTTTTTGTAAGATGATAAGCAAGCTCTTCTCACATGCGTGTTCTGTGTATTGCCATGGATGCTCAGCAACTCAACATGAAATTGTAGTCTCTTTCTAATAGTAAAATTTTCCTGAAACAAAAACTTTTCATGTGTTATTTTCTTAGTGTTTGATTCACTTGTATGATCATTCCATCCCTTTATTTTCTCTAGTTGCCTGGACGAACTGATAATGAGATAAAGAACTTCTGGAATACAAGAATTAAGAGATTGCAACGTGCCGGCTTGCCAATTTACCCTCCTGATGTGTACTTGCAAGTAAATACAAGTCAGGAAGAGGGCCATAATGTGGCGTCAACGCCAAATCAGGACTCCCTTGGTTCCAATCTCTTGCATTCAGATGATTTTGAGATTCCTCATGTGGAATTTGAGAATCTAGAAGTCAACCAACGATATTTGTCTTATTCACCTGAACTTCTCAACATTCCTCCAAAAACTATCGGTCCATCCCATGGTTGTGGCCACATGTTGCCAATGGCATGCCCTCCTAAGCATCTTCAGGAAAGTGTTGGCAATTATATCTCAATGCCCAACCAATTGACTGATTTTGCTTGTGAGGAAAATCATGGTGAGCCCTACAAATCATCTTCTCCATATGATTCTGATTTCAGTACCAATGACCAGTCATCATTTGGTGTACCTCCTGGCACTGATGCCCTTCTAAGCAGTAATTTCTCTCCTTCTGAGCCCTTGTCTGGGCCTATGAACATGGAGCGCCCTTCATACCAATATTCAGATTATCGACAAGATAGCTGGGTTAATCCTTCAGTCCCACTACCTTCGGTTGCGTCTGTCGATTCTCTGATCCAGTCCCCTCCAATGAAGCGGGCCAAGTCAGATATTTTTACACCACAAAATAGTGGTCTTCTGGAAGCAATACTTTACGAGTCACAGAAACTTAAAAGCTCAAAGGATGATTCTTGTCAGCAGTCTTCTGCTTCTATGCTTGATGATGTGACTGATTCTCCCCTGAAGGATAGCAGATTCGAATTTGAAGCACACTGTGACTCGAGTTCTCCTTCAGCTCATTCTGCTGCATCGACTCTTAGTGAGCACACTCCGGTTAGTTGAAAGCATCCTATGTGAGACACGTTTTGCAACCAATGAATCTTGTGACATGAATTAATAATATTTTGTATTAATACAATTCATCATGATTCCTGCAGGATGCAATGGCAAGAACGAAACTCCAAATCAAATGGCTATTTCTGGACTAGATGATTTTTTGGGATCTGGTCAGTTTGGTCATTACAATTGGTGCGTGAGAGATAAACCCATCTCGACAGATGTTATGGCGGCTCTTTTGCGTGAAGATACTTGCCGGGCCACTAGCACACTCTTCTTGTATTCAAGGTGCTTGCATTTCCCTCAAACTTCTGAAAATCATTGAAATTCTCTGAAATTGAATGGACATTATAATCTTTTCCCTTGATGGAAGTTTTAAGATTTTTGTCAATCGTGAACTATTGGAGGAGGTGTTAGATAAGTTTCTATGGAACTATTGTCATTTAGCTTTTGCTACCGTATGCCTGACATTTAAAGCAGATGAAAATGCGTTTGTGGTACTCAGGACGGTTGGTGCTCGATGTAGCATTTAAAGCATTTGAACGGATCTATTCTTGCCTTGTATATATATTTTGGTTAATTTGATTTTCACAATTTGAGCATCATCCAATCCAATTTAACCAATTCTCATGATAATTTTCAATTCGAGTAGTTCAATTTAGCTGATCTTATATCATCTTAGAAAGACTTTGTTTAACTAGGCACTCCCATCTTTTAAACCAGATGGAACAGGACAACTCTACCTCTGATAATCATTAGTCAGCATCCATTTCTTCCAGTGCAGTCGTAGCAGCAGCCTTGGCTTCCTCTAAAAGGTCATCGGGAACCTGAAAATTTGTGCCAGTGCCAAAAGTCATCAGAAAAGTGAAAAAAACACTCAAGGACTTGCGACAAATTATTTTCGAATGACAACTAAATTCTGCAGAAGAAAAATGGAACTTATTTATCCAAGCCATTTTCAAATATGGTTTCTTATCACTATTTATAGCTGATAAATTCCAAAGATCAATTGCATCAAAATTTCAGAAAGGAAGAAAATCAAATTATGCATGAGATATAGAAGTGGATAAGATCATGGCATCAACACTATTTATTTCCTTCAGTGTAGTAACTTAATAGTTTCTCTTGCTATGAAAGAGAACAAAATGTGGCAAGGAGCAAAATATGATTATAATTGAAAGCATCAAAGAAAAGATGAAGCTAGCACCAATGAAGTAAGAAAAATGAATGAAAACATATTGGCTAGCACCAATGAAGTAAGAAAAATGATTGAAAACATATTGTGTGGTTTTGGAAACGAGACAGGTTTACAAATGTTCATGCAAGGATGTATATCCATAATGGGTGCTGTCAGGAATTACCTTTTGATGTTGTTGCTTTGACTCATCACATACCCAACTCATCTCCAGTTCAAAGGCCTTGTCCTTTGCTTCATCATGTACCTTGTAGATGCTGCTCAATGATAAATGATGAAATCTTATGCATGCATTCTCAGAGAAAGGAAAATAATATCATGTATATGCATTGTAAACGTACACAAATACAATTCAGGCAATATGCTCGACCACACATATTTTGTTTCTTCAAGTCATGCCAGTCAGATAATTCTTAGATATTGCATACAAGCACACCAGGCTTTTCTTTTTGTCAAACCAAACATTAAGGAAAATAAATAAAATAACAGAAAGAATTTGAGCTTGTTCCCTAGATTTCCATTAAATGCAAGAAAAGAAAAAGAAAGTTTTAACATTCAGAAAGAAGATATAAGCAACAATCTTGAAAGGTAAGAATCGAATTAAGATAGACAAACTCACATTTAGGCTACTTCAATAACCCCTTCTCTGCACGTCATTTCTGACAGCATCAACTTTTCAATCTCTCTGTTCACATGCACAATTCAATTGTAACCTTATAGTTGTCTCGTACTAGTGTTACTCAGATGAGTGTACAAAAACAAGAGATAAACCATAGACAACTCAAGTTTCAGCTTCTTAGATATTTGAAAGAGCATAGCCATTAATTTTACAGGATAGAGCAACAATTTTAACTAGCCAACCAAACTAGTTTAGTGCCAAGCGAGTGTTGACTTGATTTTGATGACTAGTGGGCAAATGAAAACTTGGCATGTAATGAAACAACATAGGAAGGACGTGTTTCACTTTTCGTAAATCCACTTCAATTTTTCATCATCTCTTTTACTTTCTCTTTTTCAAATGCAAGTTTGGAAACAACGAAACTCGTATAGAACAATTAGCAAAACTTTGTGTGAGCCGTGAAGAGAGTATGCCAGAAATATTTTGGAGATTAGATTTCAAAGAAAATAAAATAAAGTCCACAACATTCAATGCTTAATTTCATATTATTAGCTAGCATGAACAGATGAATGTCTTCCTCATGTTTCGCAGGATAAAAAAAATAGTTTTGAAACTTACGTTTTGGCAGCTTGTTTTCCCTTCCCAATTGCAGCACCAAAGTATCTCTATATCAATTACAACAAGAAACAACGCAAACAAGGAGATAAATCATTAACTAGCAGCAAATAGAAATTATACCAATGTAACAAGCATCGACAAACAAAGAAAAACATGAAGTTGAAATTGGGAGGAACGAACATACATAGGAGATGCCAGACGGTTCAACCATATATATAATTGGGGACCATCTCTATCATAACCACCGAGAATTTTCCCACAGCCAAAGGGTCTGAGCCACCAGTAAAGGGTGCATAAATGCACATAACTCGCAACACGTTCGGCAAGTTCTTTGACAGGAATGGGCTCACCATATACACTTCATAACCACCAACAAATGAAACCCATAATTAGATAAAAGAAAATAACAGACATAGCTAAAGCTGAACTTTGGGAATTGAAACTAAAGGAAAAACCTTTGGTAATTTGTAGCTTCAGATTTAGCACGGGCCACAATTTGCCTACCGTCAGCTGCTAATCCAGCCACTGCCTGAATTAGAGTATAGAATACCAGTGGAAGAGAATCAGAATCCAAAATATTTGCATTGAAAATGGGGAAAATGCCATTGAAATTAAGTTAAAGCTGAAGAAAAAAGGGGAGGAATAGTGAATACCATGCCGGAATGGCGATGAACGGAGTGGATTCTTCGATTAGAACAGGGTAACATCATCTTTGAAGCTATCAACTTCTCAACTCCCTAAAATAATAGTACCCATTTTAGTCTACACAAATATAATTGCTGCTGTTTTTTGTTTCCGGTTGGTTCAAAATAAAAAATAAAGGAAAAAGAAAATCATTACCATAACGATCCCATCTTTACATTTTATTCCAATCACAGTTCTGCAACAAGAAAACCAGTGTTTTTGAAAACAAAACTAGATTTTTGACAGCCTAAAATTACATATAAAGAAGAAGAAGGGCGGACCCGCTCTTATCGACGGCTTTGGCGGCGTATTCGATCTGGAAAACGCGGCCGTCGGGAGAGAAAGTGGTAACCGAGAGATCGTAACCAGTTCCTATGCTGCTCATCTTGTTTCTTCTCTGCTCTTCCCTACTTGTAACACTTTGACGTTTTGTTTGCTCGTCTTCTTCTTCGTTGGAACTTCAATTATATTCTACTTAGTAAGGTCTTTTTGATTTTCTTTCTTCTCAAGACATTCATTCCGATGGACCTTCATGGGCCACTCAAGGCCTCCATTCCATTTTTATAGTTTCATGGGCCACTCAAAGCTTACACTTTGCTATTTTACTTTAGCATTTGATTGATGTAAATAATTTTCAGCTTTTCTTTCTTCTCAAGATTTCATGGCAATGGGCCTAATTGATCCACTGAAGCTCTTCCCGTGCCTTATGAGTAAAGAATATTTTTGTCTTGAGGGTAAATAAAAATAATTGAGAACGACATATAATAAATTATTTTAGCGTTGATAAATAAATATATATTTTAGTATATGAATTTAACTTTAAAATATAATTTAATATTTAATATTTTAATTAGATATTTAAGTTTAATGGTTGAATTTTTCGAATAATCCACTAGAAAAAATAATTGCTCAGATAATGCAATGTGGAGATTATTTCTTCGCATGGGGTGATTGCTACAACGTACCCTAGAGCCGCATTGTCCTCCCCGTGTTCAATCGAACTCTTCGAAGTTGCATGGCCTTCCATGCGTTTTTGGCCGAAAAAAACCTCTCGGAGTCGCCATGGCTTCCAAGCGTTTTTCACCCCCAAAAATCCCTCAAAGTCGTATAGGGAGTCATGCGTTTCTCAACTCCAATAGCACATGGAGTGCATGGCATCTCCCACTGCCACACTGCATTGACCATGCACCAATCACGTAGGTGGAGGCTGGTAGTTGGCATTCAAATGTAGGTGGTAGGTGATAGCTGGCATTGGAATGATAAAAGCTTAACCCATACCCCTATCCTAACCTATACCATGTAATAACAAGTTGAACATAAAAAAAATCTTTCAGCTATATATATGTAAGAATGAAATCGGGAGTGATCATCTAAAAACTAAAGATATGAGCAACAATTGGAGAAGAGTGCAATTGATAGAGTGAGCAATGCAAATAAAATTAATAGAGGGAGCATTTCAAAAAATTTGGTGTGTTTTTCGTTATTTTAATTTGACTATGTATTATATGGTAAACTAGTTTAAATTTGTATTATTTTGTCTCAAATTAGTCCAATAGATTGTTCGTTTTTTTGCAGAAAAAAATGGTGAATTAAATTTGAAGAAATTTTATTTGAGGTATTTTACTATTGATTATTATGTTAATATTATTTTTATAAATATTTATTAATTTCACTATTGTTGTTATGTTAATATTATTTTTATATTGTATAATATCATTTTTACGATTTATGATCATAGTGTACCATTATTTTTTTTAATTCTAAATACAAATTTTGAATTTGTAGAGAAAATTAGTAACAACTTTTTTCACGATTGTCCATTATAATGGATATATTATGGAAAATGAGGTTGGAGTTGTTTTCAGTCTGAAAGACCTATAAATATGATGTTCAAAA